ACATGATGATTTACCTACATGATTCCCAAGTTAGAGGATGTAAATATATACAAAGTTCTACTAAAAACAAAAGTTTCAAGAGATGTCAAATTTGATATTATTATGTCGTCGTCGTTGTCTGTCTATTTTGGAATAAAATCCCAAGTTCAACTTGAGTAATATTAGAAGAAATTAACATGATGGTCATAATTCCCCTTCCCTAAATTACAATCTCTAAATCCTAACAAGGCAGTGCCCAAATAAACAACATATTGCATCAAAAATAATAAGGGAAAACATATTTGTAGATCCTCATAATTTTATTTAATTTTAAATTAAATTCTTACAGTTCATTTTATTTTGATTGAGTCCTTATAATTTAATCAATTAAATTTTTTAATTCCTGAAAGTTAAAATCTTTACATTTTTTCTTTTAGAAACAAAATTCAGAACTTTTCTATTTTTGTTAAATGATTATATAACTTTAAAATTAATAATATCATTTTTATAACTCAATTTATATAATTAGATTGTCTTCTAATTATATTTTATACATGTAGAATTTTCATAAAAAAATATAAACAGAAGATTAAATCAAATTTTCTTTTTTTTTTTTAATTTTAGCTAAAAGTATTAAATTAAATTTTCTGCAAATTTTAAGAGTATTTTTATTTTGTAAAATTTAATAATTCATTATTAAGTTTAGGGGCCAATATCTATAATAGATAAAACTATAAAAGCTTGATTAAAATAAAATAAATTATAAAATTTTAATTTAAAATTAAATAAAATTATAAAGATCTGTAAGTATATTTTTTTAAATAATAATAAACAACCACCACATTTAGTCTATTAGAAAGATGGGCTGAAAAAGCAACAATTGGAGATATTTCAATTAATTTATCGGTAACACCCTTACCCCAAAAGACAAGGGGAAAAAAAGGCAATGCGCACGTAGCAAGACAAACTAACTTGATCGAAAATTTGACCCGTTGTTCCTTTTTTTTTTTTTTTTGAAAGGTTAAGATATATTTGTTATCTTTAAAATATTTTTTAAAGAGCACCCCATATTTTAAGATTTTTGTTTGAATAATTTTACTCTTAAAATATTTTTTTCCTTTTTATCAAAATGTTAATATTGATTATTAAAAAATTTGATTAAAAAAGTTAAAATACTTCATTTTAATAATTTTAAGAATAAAATTATTTTAATAAAATGTTAGGTGCTTTTTAAAAAATATTTTTAAAAAGTATACCTTTATCTTTTTTAAAAAAAAAATTGGACTACCCTGTACCATCCATATATTCTATTTTAACAGGGAGATTTAACCAAATAAATTGGGATAAGCTAGAAGATGATAAAGGATGACGAGGCTCTGGTCTCCTAGTTATATGTGACGCCAACAGGCGCTTGTGGCTGGTCCTCTTGCTTTTTTCTGCAAAAATAGGTCGCCAAATCGATTCATTGCAGTGAGTCAAACAAGAAAACATGTCAGACGGCTGAAAACTTTCTTAGCGTTATCAGTTTCAGGATTGAAGATGTGGAAGCAATGATCCTCTCCATCCACTTCCACCATTCATTGCAACTATGGGAAATGGGGGATGCCTGTAGATAGAGACGTGCTAACTGGTGTGCTTTCGTTTATTGGACACATTTTATATGGACGCAAGGTCACCAGTTGTAGACTTTAATATTTAAAGAATATAATTTTAAATTTTTATACTTTATGCGTGTTTTGTTATATATCTCTATACTTTTTTAATATTATATATAACTATTTATATTTTTATTTTTTAATATTCTAGGTCTTTAAATAAATAAAGTGCAGGGACCTATGAAAGATTTAAAACATAAAAAAGTGTAAAAATTTATAACAAAACATAAGTATTGGACATAAAGTTATGTTTTTTCTTGAATATTTAATTTTAACTCAAGTGTTATGGAAAAATATCGAAAGAGAAAATTAATTATTATTATTATTATTTAAATTATATTCTTTTCTCTGAATTTAATATATGCTGTAAGAGATTATAAAGAAAATAGATAATATCAATTAAATACACATTAAAAAAGTTTCCAAAGATACTAGCATATTAATTACAATTTTTATTTTGTGAGCTAAAATATTAGTAAACCACAATTTGTTAAAAAGGGCGCAATTTAAAATTGGTTCCCTGGTTCTTGGTGCGAACAGAAAGGAGCTATATGGAAATGAATACAGTATGTTTGTTCCGCTGGAATTTGGAGGGGAGATGAACAAAACTGGGAGAGAAGCCTCTCCATTTCTCTCATCTCAATCATTCATTAGTTCTATAATTTTAAAAAAAGTATTTAATAAAATAATATGCAAACAAAACCAGAGTTAAAAAACTCGATCCTCAAATGGGACAGGTATGTTGGAATCGGACGTGGGGACTGGGGACCATTGACTCAAGTTATTGCAATTTGAACAGTGGAACAATCTTTATTTAATCCGATTAAAATACTAAGTACAGATGTGCAGGATTTTGATTCGTTCAAATGGTCGATTATGTAAGTATTTCTTTATATTTGTCATTTAAGATTTTAATAGATTAAGAAAAACAATTACTCATTCCATTTTTTATTTTAGAAATTATCATTTGAAACCCATTTTTTGTCTATTCCATTTATCTTGCGCGTGAAAGAGTTGGTTCAACAAGAATTTGAGCGGGAAAAAAGGAGGTATCTCCAAACGGATGCATGGGGCTTGTATTGGAGAAGAAGGAAGGAAGGAAGGAGATTAAAGCTAAGAAACTGACTGAATCCTTAAATGTGGTTGGTTTATACTTTGTAGGAATCTGATAAGCCGAGGAGCATTGACATCGATTACAACAATCAAGACACTTTTAATGGAGATATTTTTAAAGCTGAGGAATGCAACCATGAACCGATCCGACCATCTAATAATGGGATTGCCCAAATCTATACATGTAAAGTGCTGTTCATCTCTAGTTTAATAAACAGTAACCATAAACTTTTTTATCCACTTTATTAATCACTTTTTAAAACGATGAAGTGATTTGCTTTATAAATTATTAAATTAATAATAATATTTTATTTTAAATAAAATATTAAAACTATCCTTAAAAGTATGAGAAAGAGAGAAAAATAAAAAAAATAATATTATATAATTTATTTATTTTTTAAAGATTATATTTGTAATTATATTTTTTATTCTGTATATTTTTATTGTATTAGTATTGATAATGTTAATAAAAATGACTTATAAATAAGATCAAAGAAAATATTTTTAAAAACTAAAATCTAATGTGAGTTGTCAAAGAAAAAACTAATGTGGGACCCAAAAAAAATAAGTGTGGGACTCATGATAAAAAAATATTTTTGAATTTAAGATTAGTGATAAAAAATATTATAAGGCATAATATTTTTGATAAATGTAGGAACTCTACTTATCATTTGTTGCTTATATGTTTATATATGTATAACATAATTAATTGTATTATAAAATATAAATTTAAATAATAAGTCATAAAATGGAATGTTTTATTATAATGAAATTACAGACTTAATTTATATAAATTATAAAAAAAATATGTGTATAATTTGATGGATAATTTTTATTATTTCAAATCTTAACACACATAAAATAACAAATTCTGTATGAAATAATTTTTAATTTTATTTTTAAAATATACATGATAACAAATTATAAAATAAAATAAACTTATATGGAATAAATATTGGCTCATTTTTTAAAACAAAATGCATATTGAAAGATTATGCATGGCTTATAGTAAAAATTATAGGTAAGAGACCTATCATGAGTTGATTGTACTATATATATATATATAACATAATATCATTATAATTTTTTAGTTTTGCTTCTAATAATATAACAATTAACATGTATAGTCAAAACTTTAATATGTATAGTCAAACCAATTCTTACAATAAATTATTATTTAAATTTATTTTATGTAAATTAACAAAATATGTTATTTTGAGTACACAAACATAAATTATTTTTTATTTTTAAATTGTTACTATTCATTTGCCGCTGAATGAATAGTCAAAAAATTTTAAAATAGAATAAATTTTTATTTAAATTTAAATCTGCATAAAGTAACATGTCACAAGTATATAAAACTAAGTTATTTTAAATTTTTTTTTCTTACGTTATGCTTACCCTTCAAATGATGAAAGATCCTTACAAATATTCAAAAAATATCTCAAATAAATATCTACAATACTTATAAACGAGTAAAAAGATATTCTGCCAAAATTAAAAATGAAAGCATAATGCAAATTTAACACGATTATTATTAATCATATCTTCACAGGTGTTTCAATACATTTGACATTTATTTAACACGACTGTCTAAGACCTTAACACGAGACTTACTATAAATTAATTTAACTCTCAATTAATTAAACAAAATACCTCTCAATAAAATGAGTGAAAATACTGAAAAAGAAAAACTTTACATAAATTCACCAATCCCAACTTTAAAGAATTTAAATTTTAAAAGAGTTACTTTAAAATCCCACGTCACAATTAAACACTATAAGGTAATGACAACTGCATGTATCATTTTCCGTTGCTAGATTGTTGACGGACTTTCTAGTTTAGTATTTAAATGTATTGTGTGAAACTTCCATATAATTCTCCCCACAAATTTTTTAAATTATACGGTTCCTTTTGGCTGAATATAAAATTATATTTCGATCCCTCGAGTAAAATACTTTAAAAAAATTTTTTAATAACATAACATTCAATTTTTTGGAATGATCTGATGTTACTCGTTTTTAACAATAGTTAATTTAATTTTGATTGTCTATTAGAAAAGGACACCATTGTACCTCTCATGAAAAGTCATGTGCTACATTGCTCTATAATTTCTTGGATGATAGAACATCTACAAGGTATTTCGCTTACCTACGAGGCAATCTTGTGACATATATAAGCAAGAAACAACCTGTAAATTCGCAAGGCAGAGCAGAATACAGAGCGATGGCACTTGGCATGTGCGAGGGAATATAGCCGAGAAGAGAAGGGTGCTCAAAGAGCTCAAGCTTAAATTTCAACTTCCAATTCAAATGTGGAGTGATGGAAAGGCAGCAGTAAGCACTGCAAATAATCCCGTACACGACTAAACATGGGGCCCTGCTCTGTATGTTATTTTATCAGGGCCGCCAGAAGACACAAATGGTTCTGCCCTGTATCTCTTTTATGCAGGAATAGAAGTTAAATTATCCTCTTCCAAAAAAAACAAAAGGGGGGGGGGGGAATAACCCGAACTCTGGCTTTACGTAACGATGTTTCTTGACAGCATTACTTGAGCGGTTTCTATCTAAGTGACGTATTAGTAGCTGCACACTAACAAAACAAATTTCCAAATCAAGGGACAGGATCTAATGGGCTGGTATAAATGACCTACCAAAATAATTCTCTCTCTGACAACTACGTAATTGTCATATATACATATACATGCCTGGAGAAACACCAAACCTATCAGCACAAACCCAGCAACGTAATCCCCTATAGAACTGCCCAATCATACAACCATCACAATATCGCAGCAGAGAAAAATCATTGTTCGTGAAGGTCATTTATCAACTGCACAATCAAGTTACAGACAGAAGGGACTTACGCTGCATCAGAGCAACACGCATAACTCGTCAGATATTTCTTCCAGCTTGCTATTCTCAATAAAGGCGACCCCCTTCCCCCGTTCAACAAGAAGTACATCTACCATGTTCTGTACATCACAACAGATTAGATGTCAAGAATTCGAATGGCCACATACTACAGCCGGATGTCACGGGAGTTAGCTTTTGTGAGCGCTTTAGCAAAATAATTGCGGATCTCTGGTATTATACGTTGAACCAGACAAGAGTGCCTGCAACCATTTGGCATATAAAAATTTAAGCAGCTGAAATAAATACTTGATTCAATAACAGATATGGGCTTTAAACATTCATCGATCCTCATCATTTAAGTATTTATCAGTAACGGAGTTCTACACAACTATGGTGCCATCCAACCTGCTGAATTGGAATAAACAAGCTTATTCAAATCAAAGATTGGATCTACTATCAAGACCCGTCTGTAATTGAGTTAGTGATCCATGTCTACCATTTTCGAAACAACTTGCAAGCAAGCAGAGTTAATAAGTGACCCCAAAGCGGAAAGATAAAAGAACTTAATATTTGTAGAACAGAGAATTTTGAACTTGTTTACAACTGTCACGCCCTTCCACAAGAGGTAGAAAAAAGAGTTAATAACTCTTCACATTTTCATAGCTATATATTATAAAGGCTTCATTCCCATCTCAATACAGCAAAATACAACAAGAAAACATGACTTGCCCACGCCCAAAAGACATGCCTAACCTCACAAAGCAGTCTGTGAGTTCTCCATGATCCCAAAGAACCATTACACGCTAGTTGCTGGATTTAATAGGCTGAATAACCATGATTCAGGCTTTTTATAAAACATTAATGTCTAAGTAATACCACTGAATCATCCAATCAAACATACCAGGAACATAAAGATGGTAAACAGTAATGAAGTACATGCAATTAGCCCCAGAACTTTCAGCTTGCTCTAGATATTTCTTCATAAATATGTATGATAATGATTATGAAGTTAATGGCCTGTGATTAAAATCTATAACAGCATTCCACTGGTAAGGAAATATCAGAGAAGAAAAGACAAGGTTGAAGAGAATAGCTATACCCTGGTCTCGCACTCAATTTATCAAAGTGCTCCATGATAAAAAGGATGCATGTGTGCCTCAATGACATTGCATTGAAGGCTTCTGAGAGTTCATACATGCTAGAAACATTCTCCAGTGATATATCCTGAGACAAAATTTAACATAAGGAATATGCAAATCTATCATTACAGCATATTGGGATTTTTGGTAAGCCTATCAATTGATTTTCTCAGTTCACCTGTGCTATCGTGTACTCACAAAGTCTCTTAAGTCCTTCTAAGAGATATTGATCAGCTGCTCTGAGGAGATCTTGGGCAATATCAAGAGTAACATCAACTGATCCAGTATATATAAATCTAGACAAAAATTATGCGAGTTAAAACATATTAGTGGTTTGAAATCATTAAAAGATTCCATAGAACAAATTTAATCAAACATAAGTGCAGAATTTCAGACCTCATCATCAACTCAAAGACTTCCCACCTAATGTTTGGAATCTCTATGTCTCTTGCATCCTTCTCCTGTGAGATAACACATTTCGTATAGGTTTAAGGTGTGTATCAACAAACATCCATCTATGACATCATTTTTTACATCAATTTAAAAAACAAGCTTTGGTTCATATCAATTAAATCCAAATTCACCAACCAATTTTCCAGTCAAGACTTGAATAACTAGATTCATGAGATGTTGAAAAAGAACAAACGCTGCAATCATAAGGGTAAACGGCTATTTCTGGCTAGCTCCATTTCATTAATAAAAAAAGAGGAGTTTGCAATGGTATCACTTTTCACTTCTGGTTTGTGGGGATGAGGAGTTATGATACTCACCCTATAACCACCGTCAAACATAGCACGAAAAGCATCTGAAGATGCAAGTAGGCAGATTCTGTGAGCATAAAATCGTTTCCCTGCATTGATTAATGAAGATTTCCCAGATAACTACACATGCAAACCGGAGCTCCAACCAACAAACTTCGAATAACTTGATATTTCTCGATAACATAGCCAAGAAACAATGATTCTGAAAAGTACCAACCTTCAACCAAAAATGTTACGTCAGACAATGTAGCATTGTTCACATACTGCTCTCCCAAATAAACCTGCAAGAAATATAGCGTATCATCATAGAAATTCCCGCTTCATGAAACACTTTACTTTGTAACATTCTAGATTGGCGAGCTCATGCAGGTGGGAGCTATGCAATTATTATCATGCAAGTGGCAGGCATATAAAGGAAATAAACGTTGATTATCAACGGATATAGGATTAGTATTTAGTAATAAACTATACGGAGCATGTGTTTGTAAGTACGAATCTTCAATGAGACATTCACATCAACTTTCAGCCTAGAGGGCATCATGACATCGCACACCAATGCTTGCAAACATGATAAAAGGCTGTCATTGGCCGACTAATACCATATAAGCCGCCAGGTGAAAAACAAAGTAAAAATTTATAAATAACTGGTAATCTAATACTAGAACCCACGAATAAGCAAGCAAACAGTCTAACAGTCCACAGCTTTCAAATTCTAGTCTTTTGGTTGCATTAAGTTACTGTCAACATAGGAGAAAATCAAATGGAGGGTATGAAATTATATAAATTCTCATTTAAAAGGAAGATTCTGAACTTTGTGAACAAACAACATCAAGGTACAAGTTGTAACACACCAAATTTTTTTTTTTTAATACGTTTTCCCCCTTTTTTTATTATAATAATAATTTAATAATATTTTTTTATTATTTTTTATTATTTTTTTAAATTTTTTTTTTAGAATTATATCCTAAGTTAGATTTAATAATCATCTCTTACTAATTTTCTTACCTCTAAATATTATTTTTTTTTTAAATTTCTATTAACCCAAATTAACTATTAAAATTTAAATTGGGATGTTACACAAGTAGCCTGTTTGGACCATATCACAAGACTTGCTTTATTACACAGTGGTGAGAGAACAACAAAGGTCAGTCCAACTAGATATAATCTAACCTGGGGCGTTGGGGAAGGAGGGGCAGCATCTATTGGTGATAGAGTCGTGGCTTTGTTGGCCAACTTCCATAAAGCAACAGCACCATCAAGTTGCTGCTTAGGACTAGCAGAGCCAAGAAGCCCAATAAGAAATTCCAAACCTACAAGAACACATAAACAGTGAGTAAAATAGAACGGCCATAAAATTAATTTTATGCAGGAATAACGTATACCATTGTTATCAATGAAAATGGTTCTCTGATCAACTGCAGAACAAAGATGAGCAAGAGCCAAAGCAACTCGTCTTTGGATAGCCTTCTCTGAAACTCGCATAAGATATAACAAATGGTTCAGGACCTACATGAAGGGGGAAAATTGCAAATCTTAAAAATTGATCAAGTAGCAGCAAAGTCGAGGAATTAATTATAATTACTCCATAAAGTAAGATACGCATATCATGTGACAATCAGCTTACACGGCCATGAATCTTCTCCTCTAATCTTTTCAACGTCTTTGCGACACAATCTTTTGTTGCCTGCAATAGAAGACAATCAAAACATGTCCAGGGTAGGACACTATTTCCCGATTTTTACAAATACAAATATACAAATAGAAACATGCAATCTGGGCAAACTCTATTCCTTCACAAAAGCAAGAAAGGGCAGAAGAAACTATGCCAGAAACCAAAGCTAATGTCTACAATTAAACGAGCACGCTTACTTGAACAATAAACTCTCCATCCTGGAGTCTCTGAACACCACCTACCCTAATGAAATCAGACACATTATCCTATTGGACAAAAGAAATAACAATAAAGCACAATTAATTAACATTGTTGCTTGACAAGGTGAATCAAACCAACTTAAAAAAAGAATATTTCAATTTTAAAAATAAACCTTACTCAAACCATACCTCATTATCTGCAAGGCCATAAAGAGCAAAAGCAGCATTATGCTGCAAAGACCCATTTTTTGAGTCAAGGAGCTTGAGTAATGGCACTAAGCCACCATTGTGTGCTATACCAGCTTGGTTATGGGTGTCCTGGGTCAAAGTAATTATTTCAAGCCAAAGGAAGTCACGCTCAAAATAACTCGAGCCAACAAAAAAAGGGAAAAAGTACACAGCACTGTGCGGAAAAATCATTAATTAGATTACTAAAACAAATTCTGCCCTTTAACTATGATCACTGTATACAATAATTATAGATGGAAAGACTAGATTATGAAATTTCCCAAACATATATTATTTAAAAGCTATTCTCAATAGCAACATATTGTTGCAACTTTACCTAATCAACTTACACAAGAACTGCAAGTTGGAAAGGAGAAGGGGGAAAAGATAACCTGTGCGAGTCTCCCCAAAGCAAAGGCAGACATTTCTCTGAGTTGTACATCAGGAGACTGAAGCATCTCTATCAGAGGTCGGACAGCACCTCTCTGAACAATGTGAACCTACAAAAACCAAGTAAAACAAATTATATGAGTGGGAGCAGGGTGAATTAGTATTTTATCATTGTCACAGGACTTTTAAATTTATCCTGGCCCTAATCAATATTCTAGGACAAAAGTATCTCTATCTCTATTTAACATGACTAGTAAGATATAGTCCCGTAATTAAAAATCAAAGCCATAAAACAAATTCTACCAGTCATTTATTTTTATTTGCTACTACCATCATCGAGGCAAACAAAATAAAAGTTATAAAGGTAAGGGATCTTTCCCCATCTACATATCCCGCATCCTGCTTCAGTACAAACCAGAAAGATTGGGTTAGCAAAGTAAATTGTTTGCCTACCTTACAATCTGAATCAGTTGCTGCAAACTGTCCAAGTAACAAGGCAGCTTCCCTTTGGCTCTCGGAGCAGCAGGAGCTGTAACATTAAAAAATTCTAAATTAAAAAACATTCTTAAAAAATTAATAATAAGAATACACTTTAGAGAAATACATTGCATTGACATTATTACCAGTAGAAAAGGATCTTTAATGATTTACTATATATTAATATGGAAGATTTTGGGGTGAGGGGCTCAGAGGAAACAATATTGCAAATTTGTCAAATCCAAAACTAAATGCATACCTAAGTAATCCAATAACAGGTTGTAAAGCCCCAGCAAGAAGAACATCTTTCTTTATATTAGGTGAAGAGTGTACAAGATTTCCTATTACACCAACCTGTAATAGAATACAGAAACATTACACGCAGAAAGTATAAGATAAGCAACAACTGAGTGAGAACAATACTAATCTATTCTAAAGCACAATAAAAATAAGTTGCAAAAGCCATACCGCTTCATAATGAATAGCAGCATCTTCAGAACGGAGCATTAAAATTAGAGTTGGAAGAGCATTGCAATCAACAATCTGTCAAGTCATGGTATCATGTCATTTCATAGTACTTTACATGAATTTCAAACATGCAACCTTAAGGGCAGGCGCCAGTTACCTGATTTTTATTTTCATCATTTTTAAAAGCGAGAGTTCGCAGTGCGCCAGCAGCTGCTCTTTGCACCTTTGTATCAGTAAATTGAAGCAATTCAACAAGCGGTGGAATTCCACCTTCCATCCTAGATATGGAATCCAGATATAAATAAGCACAAAATCATTCCAAATTATAAATTCAATGTAACATACTCATGAAAAAAGATAACCTGACACGGCTTTTAATGTTGCTGTTCTCATGAGCAAGATTGGTGATTGCATCTGCAGCCCTTCGAATGACACTATTCACAGCACGGGAAGTAGAGAAATTCTTATGTCTCTTTAACAGATCAACAAGATGTTTTAAGGCACCGTTGTCAACAATTAGTTGTTGATGTTCTGGCTGTTTGAAGAAATTTCAAATGAAAAAGCAATATTAGCAATCATGTACATGCATTGTACAAAGTACGGTTAAAAATGACAAGCTTGTACTCGTAACACATATGGACATGCTATGACAAAAAAGAAAATAGCATCCTTACTATAACATAGTATTTATTCCTATAACTAGGTCTATATTTCCCTATTGCTAAGTCAACAGAAGATATAAAAATGGATTTTCAAAACTTAACAGTAACTGCAACAGTGCAATAAAACTGTTCGTGAAACATCTTATATGATTCCTATAAGTTCATCAGTTAATGAGCTCAAGAATCGGTGAAAAAGGAGAAACTACGAGCATTATGATGAAATAAGGATATTCACAATAAAGCCATCTGAATGATCTAGCTATATAAAGCCTTGGTTTTCACTTTGCATCAAAACTTCTAACGTCATCTAGTACTTAATTCCACCGCACTTTCTTTCCTAAGATATTTATCCCTTCTCTCAAAAGTTAGGGAGTAATGGTAGAATAAAAACCAAACAGAACCGTAACTAATGGCTGCTGATGATACAAACAGTTCTCCTCGAAACATGTGAAATTGTCTTGTGGATGTGTGGAGGTGATAAAGATTATTCGCAACACTCCACGTAATTGCGTTTGTAAAATTTTATACGGATTCAAAAATAAAATACGTTAAACCTCAAGAAGGTAACACATGAAATATGATAGACGTTATCATCGAAGTAACACCATAACCTCAGTTTTCAGTGTCATCACCACATATTTGAAAACTTGCACAGTTATAGGTGAAATAAGTAAAAGCTACAAGGTACAACGTGCTATTGTTTCCTCGTAAATTCTTGAACCATAGTTGAAAACACAGAAGTTACCTTTACAGCAAGAAGTCCCAGAGCGAAAGCACTCCCTTTCTCGACCTCGTGCTCGAATGGCTTTTGACCACGATCGCCTTCACTCGAAGGCGGCGCTTGAAGATGCTTAACCAAAGACGGAATCGCGCCTCCTTCAACAATCACGTTCACAACTTCCTCTTCAAACACCAAACATCAATCTCAAGCCGTTAGTCAAGCCCACACGCATGCAAAAGATACAGAGAAAATGAAGAGCATCGTAATTCATGAAACTGGAATAAAAACATAAAATGCAAGGGAAGACGAGACGAGATCTGAGAGCAAGCTCCGAGGGGAACTTACTCACCATTCTTAGCAAGCTCGGCGAGAACATGAGTCGCACGCTTAGCAGCGGCTCGATCGGCTTCACGCCATGAAAAATTGGAGTCGAGGATCTCAACCTGCGCTGTGACCTCCGCGAGGAGGGCGTCTCGAGCGTCACCGGTAGGAGGCGCCGAGATCTCTCGCTCGTCTTCGAAATCTTCCTCCAGTTTCCGTTTCTGGCCCTTCCTCTCGGGGAGGCCCTGATCTTGGCGCTTATGAAGCTCCATAAAAAGGAGAGGGGTCTCTCGCAGAGACTGTGTGTGCTGGAAATGGATTTAGAGAGAGACAAAGGCTGATCCGATACGAAATTTGAGATTTGAATAGATGGCAGATCGGCGGGGTATTTTGGGGATTTCAGGACAATACTAAGATGAATCAGCCATTCAGCCTTTCAAACCCCTTTTTTTCCTTTTTCATTCAAGTTTGCCGGGGGGATGAGGCCTCCAAAAGAAAAAAAAAAATGGCGGTATCATCGCTTTCGGTTCTGAAGGTGAACATCACGCACTATTCTGTTCTCTGTTCTTCAGATCATGTTCGAGGATGAAAAGAAGTCCCTTGCTAACCTGCGCTTGTTGGTTTGCGGCTCATAAACTGGACCCACCAGAAAAATCGAAGCCTACACATGACCGCACAGCGGCACCTACAGTAATTGTTCATTTAAAAGTTGCATGAACTCTAAATATTTTCCTGGCCAACCTCAATTAAGACGGGGTCATCTTTAAGAGATCAATTTTTTTTAGGATGCAAGTGAATTCTCTTAATGCGCAAAGCTTAACATCATTTGATCATAACCGTTTTTTGAAATGATGCTAACTCGGAAATATTCATAATGATTAAAAATAAGCTTCATTGAATTGCCATTTGCCAGATCTAGGTTTTAATCTAGTTGGGAAAACAGGCTGAGTACATTTAACATGAGCGCCGGACTTAAAGTTGATATCCTTTAATCGCACCTTAGGCTTAAACAGGCTTGAAGATAAACGAGCGCTCTAGCTCAAAATGAAGTTAGTGGACCTAAAGAACACGGAGATGCTAAACCATCTTGGTCCAAAAAATAATAATGATGATGATGATGATGAGCATGACCTTTCTTATGGCACTGTCCGCTTAAACGACAAGGATCACTCCTTAATTGGTAAACATGTACGGAGCCCGCCGACACAGTTAAAAAAAAAAAACAACATGAGAATCCAATGGAAAAAAATAGATGGAATGAGGAGGAAGTTTCACGGCGAATCTTGTAACATCCTGATTTTTATATAATAAAAAAATTGTGAAATTTAGATTTTGAGAAAAAAATGATAATAATAGAAATTTATATTATTTGAGGTTATTTAGAAATAATATTATGATTAGGTATTTAATTATGAATTTAAAAATTTAAATTTAAAACCACATAAGCAATATTTAGTTAAGATATAATACATAAATAATTTTTTTTATGTGTGTGTTAAAAAAAAAGAGAAGGTAGAAGGAACAAAAAAGGGGGGTGGAAGGTTGTTGTTTCTAAGTCCCACATTGGTTAGATGAGGAAAGAGAAGAGGTGCTATAAAAAGGAGGGGGTGTGTGCATTAGGAAGCATGAGAGGCTAAGATGCAATTTAGAGGAAATTGCAACTTTTGGCCCAAAGGTTTGAATAATTAAATTCAAACCTATAGTTTTTTTAATATAATTTTGGGACTCACAATCCCATTTTTATATTATTTTTCTCTCTTCCTCTCACGTTGCTCAGCGTTTTCTCGCAAGGGGGGATTATTTTCTTTTTCTTCAGGTATGTTCTAACTTTCCTATTTAGATTAGCATTTAAAAATTTATTTAATTACAAAATTAATTTTATAGTTATTTTCTAAATAATATTAGTTTTCTAGTGATATGATTATTTTGTAGGATAGAGTAAATATTTTGATTAGGATTTTTCTATAGGATAGTTAATCTGATGATATGATGGATTAAAAATATAGGTTAAAACTCTTAGGGATATAGTAAATATTATAGAATATTTTCTTGAGGTTGAAACTCATGTTTAAGAATTTTTGAGTTAAAATTTAGATCTATATGGTTGAATTTATGTGGAATCTGAGATGTAGGGATAAATTTATAATTATTAAATATTTATTTAAGTATGAATAGGTATTTTTGAGGTTATAGAAAGGTGATTTGAGGCTTTAGGATAATTTTAAAATTTAATTTATTTTTGGACGAATTTTTAGAATATAGAAGGATGAAATTGTGATACTAGAAGTGATTTGAGGATAAAAAAAATAGTTTATTAGGGTACGAGAATTTTAGAAAAGAATTTGGGAAGTTAAATGAGGCATAAATCTTAAATTAGTGTTAATATGGATTATAGATCTAAGACTTTCTAACTATTTAAATTAGAGTTATTTATTTTAATGTAAAATTAATATATAGTATTGTGAAATAATTATGTAGATTATATTGACAAAGATAGTGGTGAAAAAGGAGTTGTGAAGGGAAACTTGTTATTCAAGACACAAGGTAACCATTATTAATGTGTTGTGATGGGTGTGTTTGTGAATGGTTATGTGTTGTTTTGTTGTTTGAAAAAATTATGAAATATTGAAAATAAATACTGTATATACTTGTTTGAAATTATTGCCAAGTGGGTTAAAAATTTATTTTTGTTTATCATGATGAGATATTATTGTTCGGATATATTCCTGTTTGGATATTTGAATGATGCATGACTTGTCAGGGTATTTTAATGTATGGTGTTAGTGGGAATTTCTGTTCGGTTAATTATTACCACGTGGTAAGCCCTCATTGGACCCAATGAGTGACGTGTCGCTTGGTCCAACTCACCTTTGGCCGGGTGATTTGGCGTCCGAGCATGGCGAAAGGAGGATATAAGGTGCAGTCATGCAAATTAAATACTTGTTCGATTTGTTTGAAAGTATTGTTCGGTTAAATGTTTTGTGTGCCCACTTAGCAATCGCATGATTAGTTACATCCGCATGCATCATTACATATTAATTTCTGGTTACTGGGACTTTTAAGTCTCATTCCCCGTGGTTAATATTTTTACAGGAGCGAGTCCGGCCGAGAAAGCACTAGAGGTGTAACTATGGTGTATGAAACACCATCTTTTACGTTACCTCTTATTTTGGATTATACAATGTATCTTGTGCCAACTTAGGACATATCTTCTTTGTGAAACATGTAAACTCTAATCCTTTTTATTAAAAGTATTTATTTGACCAAGAGGATTATATTTGTCTCTCTTGATTCATGACCTAATTTAAATATCATGCCATGAGGATCCTGACTGTCCCTCATGGTTTTAATTGCTTTTTTTTGAGATATTTCAAGACCTGTGGTATATTGTTTTGGATGTATCATGGTAAGAAAATTTTCTACCATGATAATGATTTTAATAATTTGTGAAAAATTGGTTTGTATTTTTGAGGGTGTTACAAGTCTCACCTGCTCTCCTTTTAATGGGTCTGCATTGCTCTAAAAATTAAATTCAACATATTTACTCTCAGTATAATTTATAGCTCTCAAGCGGTTTGTTTGAATTTTCAATAATATATCATGTTATGTTTTTCAGAGGCATATTATTTACTTCCTTTTGTGACAAAGTCAAAAATTTTGCAAGATTAGAATATTTTAAAAGCTTTTAGAACAATCTAAAGAAGACTAGAGATCCAAAATAATGCAACCACCCGAGCAAAGTAGGTTAGTATGTTTGTGTTGGGTAAGTTTTTGAAAATACCCCCCTTAAACCACTCAAAGCTACTGCAAGATGAATGGCAACTTCTCCCATCTCTGCTTTTCCTAGTTCATTCAATGGAGAAGGAGCAGAGATGGGAGGGTGCCACTCATCTTTAAAAGTTACTAAAAAAAATATATCATATACTATTCGTACGAAAATGAAATGGCCTACCAATTTAAGTACGAAGGGACGACAAAATTTCATTTTTTATGATATTTTATCGTACCCATTACGCAACGTACCTTCTCTAGGTCTCGTAAGTGATCATTATCATTCTTTAGTGCAATTTATAGTTACCATTTCATTCGCATAACCGTCGTCCCTAGTGGACTTGCGGTCCCTGGTGATTAGTGACTAGAGAATGCGTGTATTTTAACTCTGTTCGGCAAAATTAAAAAAAGAAGAGGAGGAAAGAAGGAAATCATTGCTACAACTCCAAAGTCATTTTGGTTTTCCGCGAGGCCCTGGCTTCCAACTTCCAACTGTCGAGTCTTAGGGGAAAAAAAAATCTTTTAATTCATCAATTTTTAATTTACTTATAATTCAATCTCTCAATTATGATTCGCTATAACTTAATCCATCAATTATAACTCGTCTATGATTCAGTCTCTCAATTTTTAATTTACTTATAATTCAGTCCTTTAACTTTTATTAATTCTTTTTTTTATATTAATTTAGATCTCATATTAAAGAATAAAAAAAGTATTTTAGAACAATACATGAGCATTTTTTTATTTTTTTTATTTGATAAATTTTTTTAAAAAATTTAAAAATAAGGATTAAATTATAAATGAATTAAAAATTAATGGATTTTCAATTGATGGCTCGTGCATGATTTTTTGTTAGTATAAATAATCTAAGTAGTTGAGTGACATTTTTGCAAACGGGAAATTATAGGATATAAAATTCTGTTATGATTTATGAATAAATTTATTACTGAAATATTAATTGGCTTCAGTGGACTAGTGGTTGCGTATTGAATTTCAGAACCTGAAAATACAGGAAGATAGACGATATATTGGATATTATGTTCACTATTTATATATTTTAAGAATTCTATCTAATTTTTTTCCAACCATAATGAAATAAAATAACTTCAATATAGTAATTTTAAGAATTATAGCCTAGAAGCCTTCTGCTAAATTTCCTTATGAAAGATTTTTTTTGGACATAATATACTAATAATATTGCATGACATAGAAATATAATTTTTGCAAATTATGCATCCAGTGTATAAAAAAAATATAACTTTTAATTCCTATATTTTACTTGCACTTTATTTTTGATTCTTGAATTACATTAAGTCATAATTAAAAGATTAAATTATAAATGTGTTAAAAATTAAAAGATTAAAAAATTAATTTTTTTTAAGTAAAAGCTATAAAAGGCTAAAACAACAATAGTGGGCCTTAATTAATTGAGATTTGAGACCCGATCCTTATAAATGCCATATGCACTAATCACCAGCTTTTGCGGCCAACCAAAAGTCGCTTGCCGTTTCTCAGAATCTGACAGGCCTGGCCGTCGCGGATTTTTTTTTTTTCCCGCGTCGCCTAGTCAAAGTCTATTCTTTTCTAACTCCTTCCGCCAACTCCGTGGTCTCCTGCCTCCTTCCTCTCCCCACTATTCATTCATTGCATGACTCACCCACATCTCTTCTAACTTCAAACCCAGAAGACCATTTCTATAACAAAATACAGCACTACTATACTGCCCACTTGCACTTACTCTGTTTCATGCTAAACCTAAATCATTTAATCATGCGTTTTCGCTACCTTCTTCTCTTCCTGCCCTTCTTCTTGTTCTCCTCCTTCGCTTCCTCACTGACACCCCTCCAAGGTGTGATCACAAGACTAGTTCTTTTTGTTCTTGTTCAGTGTTGTACGAACGGTTCCTTAAACATTCATGTGATTCGCAGGTTTCCTGATTGATTGTGGTGCGCCATCGTCGTCCAACATCGCCGGTCTCGTGTGGCTGCCGGATGGGGGGTTTATATCAACCGGGACGCCCAAGAACGTGACCACCTCTCTTCCCTATCCTGCTTTGTCCTCCGTTCGATCCTTCCCCCTTCGAGTCAAGAAACATTGCTACAATTTTCTCGTGTTTCCTGGAAAACGATACATGGTGCGGACGACGTATTTCTATGGAGGGGTCAACGGCCACAAGCATCCTTCCCCACCCGCATTTGATCAGATCGTGGATGGGACTTTCTGGAGCGTCGTTAACACCACAGAGGACTATGCAAATGGGAATTTCACCTTCTACGAAGGTGTTTTCTCGGCTCAGGGGAAAACCATGAGCGTATGCATTGGGTCAAATACTTACACGGATTCCGACCCCTTTATATCGGCTTTAGAGCTGGTGACTTTGAGTGATTCACTTTACAATGCCACCGATTTTAACAACTTTCGGCTCAATTTGGTTGCAAGACACAGTTTTGGCTACTCTGGACCTACCATTCGGTAAGTACGAGATGTATTCTTGCTCTTTTTTCAATGCAATGAGTAATGAAACTCAATTGCCTTTATCAAATTATGCTCATTTGATTTTATTTTTTCCTTGTGACTTGAGTTTACTGCATTTCAAGTCGTTATTCTGCCTGGTCTCCATTCAAACTGCTATCTTAACCTAAACGCACAAAGTTTCTTTGCAATCATTCAATGGTTCTGAAAATGAAGTGGTCTCTGCCAAGGATTTTCTCCCCCTTCAATAGGTTGGTTGAAAACTACGATCATGCTTGATATAAACTGTAGTCAAAGTGAATGAAAGGGCAATAGATAACAAGGTACCGAAAGAAATTCTGGAATAAATTTTCAGCTTAGAAATCATAAGTTTATAATCAAGTTATCACCAGCTGTAAATTGGGTGAGCGACATTTTTATTGAATTTCAAACTTGTATTTCTGCAAAGTTCTTTCCACTTTTTCTCCCTTCTAATGTCCACTCTGCGGGTTCAACAGATACCCTGATGATAGTTTTGACCGATTTTGGGAGCCTTTTGGAGAGAGTAATTTCGCTCAAGCAGGCAGCAGCAATATTTCTGTTTCTGGTTTTTGGAATCTTCCGCCTTTGAAAATATTTGAGACACAGTTGGGATCTGATCAGTTGGAATCGTTGGAGTTGAAATGGCCTCCAGAATCACTTCAGAGTTCAAAATTCTACATTTCTCTATACTTTGCAAATAATGAGGAATCTTCACTTGGGGGTTCAAGGATTTTTAACATAAGCGTAAATGGGATCGGTTATTACCATGATTTGAATGTGACGTCAGATGGTGTTGTTGTCTTTGCCAGACAGTGGCCTCTTTCTGGTCCTACGACAATAACATTGACCCGTACTGCTAGTTCTTCCCTGGGTCCTGTGATCAATGCTGGTGAAATTTTTGATGTGGTGCCATTAGGAGGAAGAACTTTGACACGTGATGGTAAGCCTCTGATGCCTTCTTTCATAAATTAAGGCTAGTTTTAAAATATTTTAAAGGCAGTACACAAGATTTCCAGTAAACCAGACATTGTGAGAGTGTATTAAGCACGGGAATGAGAAGCATTTCTCCCATGCCAGCTGCCAACGCTACTTAACTATTTTTACCTAAAGATGTTCTCTCGTGCTAATTCAAGTGATGATAATCAAATCAATGTTGCAAATTTCAAATTAGCTGTTTGTAAGGTGCAGCTGACTGGTTATAATGTAATTCACATCTCAACTTTTGTAACATGTTACATTGTAGCAGTATGCTTGTGCGCTAATCATAATCACATATGATTTTTGAAAGTGGAACTTTCTCTTGGCAGTTATTGCTTTGAAACGGGTAAAAGATAGTTTCCAGAACCCTCCACTTGATTGGGTTGGTGATCCTTGTATGCCTCGCCAATACTCATGGACTGGCATCACTTGCTCTGAAGGCCGTCGGATTCGTGTAGTGACTTTGTAAGCTCAGTCTCTACTTGTAACAGCTACATGCGTATAACAGTTTATCCTCTCTCGTTACTGTTGCTCTGTTTACATGACTACCTTACTAATGTTGTTCTGTTATTTATAGAAATATGACAGGTCTGGGTCTTTCAGGATCTTTGTCGCCTGACATTGTCAATATGACGGCTTTGACCAACATGTAGGTCTTTTAGGTTAAGCATATGAGCTCATTAAAATTAGCTGTTACTTCATGCTGATTATTAAATTGCTTCCTTGCAGCTGGCTGGGGAATAACAATTTGTCAGGACATATTCCTGATCTGAGTTCACTAAACTTCTTAGAAACATTGTAAGTTGTTTGTAGTTTTCTTCTTTCCCTTTAAGAAAATCTGATAAGACGATTTGTTTTTCAGCTTATAATCAATTTCCATCATTATTTGTGCAATTATGTCATTTGAGAGAACCTTGCCGCATTTGTTAAGTCAGTACTTGGTTTTTCGCATTTAACCATACTGTATATTATCTTAAGGCACTTGGAAGACAATCAATTCAGTGGAGAGATTCCCTTGTCCCTAGGGAACATCAGCAGCTTGCATGAAATGTAAGTTCCACTTAACTGGGATGTTTCAAAGAATACAAGCCACTTGCTTTTTCTCTTTTCAATGTGTTAAACTTGGTCCTTCCCCTTGCGAGTATGAAGGCAAGACTGCAAGATTGCAACACAATGTAGCAGGGACCACAGGAGATAAGAGTATAGGACCTTGAACGATTAGTAGATAGATATTAGCCTAGAGAGGCATTTTCACACTGAATGAGACTTATCAAGTTTCTTTCCTTGTTTCTTCATCTTTATGAAGAGGAACCATGGAAACTTATTTAGTGTTACAGAATTTTATAATGTCAGAAACACTGGGAGCTTGGTTGGAGTTTGTGACTATCTTGTTCCTTTCTTAAATTTGATATGAGAGATGACAAAAAATTGGTGATACTTTGGAAATTTAAAAAAAAAAAAAATGCTTCGAAGGTATGCTAGAAATAGCAATTAGTGCATTGGTCTAGAAAAATGAAACTTAGAAACCTGAGCCTTAAGTATCATCCTTTTATAATTATGACCTTTTCTAGGCTTTTCCGATGTCTGGCCAGCATGGTGAATCAAAGTCAAACCTTGCCTCAGATGGGGAAGGTTATGGAAAGTACTTGTGGTTTAGTGGAGCATTGGAGAGAGAAGAAACTTGATAGTACAGTTGTTACTTTCATGCATTCCATTTTATATGATTTGTGTTCCTCACTCTCTCTATCATCCTCACATAAGAAAAAGAATACTTTTTCCTCTTTATTACTCAAGAAGTAAACTGCAATCGTTGAATTTATTAATTATGTACCTTTGCTTAATAGATTTCTCTATATTTGAAATCACGGGAATTAAAATATGCAATGTGTTCAGGGGAGTCAAAGTCAGGTATAATTTCCTGCACTACTAATAACCTCAAATTGATGTACTAATCCAAAAAAGATAATAAAGAGAATACAAATTCCTGGACTTGAAATATACTGGTTATATTTAAGATTAAACCTTGATCAATTAAGATCCTGGAGTTCTTGGACTATGACAATTGGTTTTAGAATAAAAAAACTAAACAAAAGCAATGAGATCTTTTATCTTTAACCTTGGCTTGAATTTATTGCTGCGCACATCAGTTTCGATCTTCATTGAATCATTTGATTGGATTCTGTTGCAGATTTTTACAAAACAACAATTTAACTGGTCAAGTTCCAAGAAACCTCATTGGAAAACCTGGAGTCGACCTCAGGTGAGAAAGGATTTCCGGTTATTCATTCAGCCGTTTTTTTGTTTTTTTGAAGTTTCTGCTTTGCTGAACTGAGTGTTCTATTCTTGTCCACAGGACTTCTGGAAATAGATTCTCATCACTTCCAGCAGCTTGAGCAACCTTTTAACGAGAAAATTTTGATTGTAATATTCATTCGTATATAAACCCTTTCTCCCCTATGTGAAGCTTTGTTATCATTCTAAATGTTGCTGAATGTTCTCCTTTGTCCACCGTTCAACTGAGTATTGAAAGTCTCAGGCGGGGACAAAAACCAAAGAAAGAGAGAGAGAGAAAATTGAGCATTGAAATTCATATCAGCCTTCTCATTCATGCATAGGCCATATTCTTCTTCTTTTTTCTGGGAAGTTTTGTACATGACTACATGTCGACCCTTTTGGCATTTGTGTTACATTATGATTTTAGTGCATTCATTGTATTATTTGTACGATCGATGTTATTCTTCCTTCCTAGGCCTCGATTTTTTAAAGATCTTGCACTGCTATTTGTTTCTTGAACTACTGCTCAATCGAACAAGCGCAGGAAGTTTTTATTGTAATTCTCGATCAGTGTGTACCCTATGTAATGCAGAGGCAAATTTTAATTTCACTGCCATCGCTCATGACCGCATGTTAGTAAACGATTAAATTAAGCAATTAAGAATTCAGCTTTCTCTTAATCCTAGTCTAAATTCTTACTTTAGGCGTTAGGCATTCATTGCTTTCTCTTTAGCAAAATTTTAATGCTCATTATTATCATGTCCTTTGATGAGATATCTGGACATCTGGTTGAAACTTGAAAGATTCCCTTGTGGGACTCTCAAATCTGCAAATAGCATGTGACCATGCCTTGCTAGTTGCTACTTTTGACATGCCATCCGGACAGCCAAAAAAATGCCCCTATTGAATATTGATACAAAGGTGATGCACCATCCAATATTTTTTCTTCCCTTGGCCTTGATCCAAAGATTGTAGAAGTCAGAATTTACACTCTAATGTCACAGATCCACCTCAATCAACACTAAACTATCATGAAAGCATAATTTGTAGGAATAAATAAAAGAAATGAGCGAAATAAACTTATTTGAGAATTCTGAAGATCAAACTAAACCTGAGTTCCACCACGTTTCTTATCTTCACCTCTCTAATCTTCCCTTCTTAGGTGGAAACAGAGGCGGCAAGGCACTGCTTTTCACCTGAGTGCAAATTGGCACGTTAATCATCGGTCTAATTCTAATAGTAGCTGATCTTGTCCTCTCTAATCCCTTTTTTATCCTCTTCGTATGCTTCTCTCCATTCCTTGCTCCTTTTGCTTCTTCTTTTGCAGCAATATCAGCAAAGGAACTGGAAGAAGAAGAAGAAGACGAGGAGGAAGAAGAGGGTGATAAAGAGGAAGCACGTTGCTTTTTCAACCTCAACAACTCTTTCCACAAAACTGTGCACTTTGGTGGCCTTGGAGATGGGTCATCATCAACAAACCAATTCACTCTACTTTCCTCCTTGTTTTCCTCTTCCCCTTCTTCTCCGTCTTTGGCTTTCAGACTGATCTTGCTCAGTTTCTCTAAGTGCTGCATCTGCCAAAAAGGAAGGAGCTTTCCTTCAAAGAAAAGCTTATCAGCAGACGTCATGGTATTGTTACTAGCATTGCTTGAGAGGAACTCAAATTCTGCACTCCTTGCTCTTTCACGTTGCTTCTCTTGATCTTTCTCATCCTCGGAGCGTGGACTAATGGAGATGAAGTTCTTTTCATCTAGGAACTCTGCTGAGAAAGAGATTCGAGGGCTGGAAGGAGCATCAATAGATTTGGGGGTTTCCTGAAGAGGTTCAAGAGAGACCATTTTTTCTGTGTTTTGAGGTAGAGAGGTGAAACTCAGGTTGTGGACTTGGGGCAGGAGGCAGCTCTGGAGCATTTAGGCTTATATTCATGAGATTTGTAGATTTATAAAGCAGAGAAGCGGGGAGCTTTAATGACTCGTTTAATTTTACTCTATCCTTTAGTAACTCTTTGGACGGTGAGATTATAAAATTCTAGTGGTCTGGCAAACCCGAAACAAGTGATCTATGGTTCTTTTTAGAATATAGGGACAGCACATGGACACCTTGGGAAGTAAAAGACAAGAGCTTTTTCCTTGGCCAGTCTTTGCATGCAATTCTGAACTAAGCCCCATGTTGTGCTTCTGCATGCTTTTGTTTCCTATTTTCCATTTCTCTTTCCATCTGCCATCAAAAGCAGGGAAAGGAGAAAAATGTTTCAAATTTCATGGATCCCATTGCCAATTACCTCAGTTCCTGCACTTCACTCTTTAGTATGGTTAAACATTTATTAAGAACATCGGACTCCATTAAGTATGAAGGGGAAAATAAAAAATGAACTGACTCCTGTACAATTTGTCTTGGGATTGACTTGTTGAGGGCTTCAACAAATATGAATAAAATTTATGTAGAGGTATTAAGTGTTCTTCATAAAGAAAACAGTTTCACTTCTCTTCATTTGCTGGTATATGTGACAAACTCTTGCAGCTCAAGTGAATGCATATGGACACTGTTCAATCAAATAGCTCAGAAATTTTGTAGTGTGTCTCTGAATTTACAGAAGAGTGCACACAGAAAAGACATAAGGGCATTAGATTACTTAAGAAGATATATATTAAACTGCTTAGTCAAAGAAGGATGGGATTGTTAATTTGACCCCACCCTGCATGCAGGGGATTACAACATGGGAGTTGTCCCTGGCATGTGGCCACATGAGAGTAGTTTCTTGGCATCTGACAGCTAGGTAAAGGATTTACTAGATCACCATGAAATGACCAGGCTGCCCTTTAAATGAGTTGATCAAAGCTGATGTAGTGTGTTATTTTTTCAATATGCAGATGGGTTTTTTGTCCTAAGATAAAAGCAAACAAGTTGTTATCATGCCAAACTCTTGAAAAGCTTTTATATTAAGATTTGGGCAGCTCTAATTAATTCCTGACAGATAATGAACAGTGGGGTAAATCTTTCAATTATTACACTGCTCATCGTTTGCTTTTATTTTATATAATTAGAAGCACATTATCCTTGGGAATACTGTGGTCCTCCCCTGGACTATAATTGAAGTGGACAACAATGCTGAAAGCCCGTAGCCTGATGAAAACAAAAGCTTGAGCATGTGATGGGTGATTAGTTTACAAGCCTAACCATACAGGTCTCTACAAAAAGCAAAGACTTTTGTCAAAATCTATAAAATCTAATCATGTTCACGGTTTTATCAAGATTGATCCTTTGGCCAATTATAATGTGCTGCTTGTCGAGAACAAGAATGACGAGGCGTAAAACTTTTGACCACTTAATTATAAATGCACTATAGTCTGGACAAATATTATTTTGTTCAAAAGTTTAGGTTAGACTATAAGTATGGATGGTTAATTGTCTTAGTGGCAACGTCACCTCTCTTTTTCAGGAGAGGTTATGGGTTCAAACCTAACAATAACACATTTTTGTGTGAGTGAATGTGTCTCTCTTTCCTATAAAAAAAGGTTAGGGTAGGGATAAAAATTTAAAAAAAAAATTATAAGTAGAAAGGTCATCAATAATCTTGCTATGGGGGAAAAAGAGTAGTGTAAAAAAGGATCCTCTAAATATTTTTCTTATTCTTGCTATTATTTGTTGATTTTTGAATTTATTATAAAAAAAGATCTTTATGTGGCTTCAATATAAGGGAGAAGGTTATGTAATTAAATCCTCTAATATTCTTTTCTCCTTTGAAGAATGATAGGTACTTAAATGGAATAAGAAACCCTTCCTCAAAAGCTAATTATTAAGCTAGAAAAATTATGCTTTCAAATATTTAAAAAAGCATTCCATACTATTGAATATGAGATTTAATCATCTCTTACAACTTAAGCCTCCATCAAATTATCAGTCTCCGTTTCCAGTTAATCAAAGTCCATGTTTCACACTGGTTTCTTCTTTGACAGTGTACATGTTCCTCAAGTAACTATCACAAGGAAATGAGCTTTTCCCCACCACAGCAAAAGGCTTTTCTCTCATTCTTAAGGCATGCAGAAACACCAAGGAGGAAAGGGAAAGTGTGGGAATCAAGTTTAAAGATTATGGCTTTGTGAAGCATGTTGACCAATGGAATCACTCAAGTAGGTCCCTTGAATAATTGAAACCTTGCTGTACCATACCCAACTTACTCTGTTACAGACAATAGTTAAAAGAGTAATGTGACAGGAACTGTAGTACTGTACACTACCTTCCCATTTATTCATCCGTTCATTGATTTTAACGGAAATTGTGAAGATAACCACATGTGTTGCTTTAAGGGAATGGAGGGACCACAATTTTTTTTTTTGGTCCTTTTGGTGGCTTTGGAATTTGCATGATGAAGTTCAACCGTTGGACTGTGCACATTTTAAGAGGAAGGACCTGCTAGTGGTAACAGGGAAAGACACCAAGGAGGCTGAACTGTCCTTGGCGGAAGGGGCCGTCGACTCTCTGTATTTTATTATATAAGATTCATGCCAATCACAGCATACAGCTGTTCTGAGATGAAAGGAGAAGGAGACAGCAATGTGCTTTGACTATGACCAGGTTAGTGTTCTTAAAAAAATGAGTTTTGATGTTGTCAAGGAATAGTACAAGCTGGGTTTAATCATCTTCATATTGCATGATTTTAAATTTCCTTTTTTATTTTTTAAAGCTTGTCAGCTATTATCGTGGTTAATTTTTTACCACTTTAATATTATTGTAATTCATAACGTTAACTAGATACCCTCCTTGCACAGAATTTGACGTGGACACACTATTCATTGATTTTGAATAATGCAACTTATATAATTCTTACATTTAATTAATATCGATATTGATTATGTTGATTATATGAAATTTGTACCAACTGATATTATATTGTTTACTTGCATGCGTTTGATTTAGAATTTTACAGAGAACCTTACTTTCTAAAAGATTGTGCTATATATCTAAGTATAAAAATGTAAGCAGTTTTAATTTGTCCTATCCATCTTTCACAGGAAAAAGCGAAGGAAAAGAAAAGGCCGAGCAAAAGAAACAAAAAAGTGCTGAAATAAGCAAGTTGATATCTGGCTCGCTAATGAGAATGGGGTGAAGGTGGAGATAGCGTTCAAGAATCAAACTCTTTTTCAGTATAAATAAATAAATAAATAAAAAGGAGTAGTCCGATCAACTACATGCATGCCTTCACATTTTCTAAAACAATAAAAGTATAGAACAATTCCATTCTGGCTAGGATTACACATTTATCACTTGATTGATTTTTTATCTGATACTTCGATGGTCAATGTATAAATATTTAATTGATTTTTTATTGTTTGAAAAAGGGATCGAATTAATAATAATAACTCTTATGAGGATCAATGAGATATCATCCTAAAAAGAAAACAAATAGTGGCAAATATTAGAACAACATAATCTAATGCGGCTAAGCTGCACTAACTTCGACAGAACAATGAATGCTTTTCAACTTACAAATTCTTTCCAAGCTTGAAACTCAATTGTGTGCGTATCAGGGTGTCACTGATCGCAGGGGAAAAGAAAATATTACTATATATATGTACCTGTGCTTACAGCTTAATTACATGATCGAGGATGGTTCATTTCTAAAGCAAATTAAGTTTTATAAGTTAAATGTTTGAGAACCCCAAGGGATGTGCCAAGAATTAATTAATAAACTTTCTGCCGTGTTAGTTAATTAACATCAACCTAAAATTATTACTATGAAGGATTTTTTGGGCTGCAACAAGAAGAAGTTGAACACAATGTCCGTGTGGTCTATGACTTCTCCAAGAATCTAGCTATGATAGCATACTTCGGAGACGCACGCGCGTTTGCATCTAGTTTCAAGGAGAGATCATGATTTCAACCATGTAATGAATTAAGAAAAACGATAAATACTAATAAATCCATTAGATTTCTCAAGTTATTAAACTTAATCAGCTGATAAAGGTGGGAGAGATTTGTGAGTTAGTTACCGAATCTTCTTTGATGTTGATGCTTGAGCTCTTTGATATGCTGATGATCAATGCCGATGGCTTGAAAAGTACTTCCTTGTATAAAAACCTTATGTTCTCTGGGACATTAATGATGATAATAAATATGCAATTGCTGTTTAGTGAAATCTTTTGATCAGATTACTTTTCAGAACTATTGATTTCTGCTCAATAAAAGAATTCATTGATTCTATTAAAATTGTGCTGAACAGGTAATTTTTGTGTGTGTAATGATTTTGCAATAGGTTCTAATTTGATAATAATTAATGTCTCCTATTTGTCTTGCTCAGATTCATTTGGTACTGAAAATTAATTAGTAGCACACATTCTAACTATATGATTAGGAGTATGTTTTTGGAAAATCTCCTTTTTCAAATTAAACTTATTTTTGTTCTGATTCTGATCATTAGTCCCACTCAATACCAAATAGGATAATAGGTTATCATGTAATATATATTTCAGACGACAATTAAATAATTTGACAATTTATTTATGGACAAGTTATTCGAGATCACATATATATTGAGCAAATGGGAACAAAGAGAATCTAGGGAGGGGCCATTTTATCATGGAAGCGATATTTGGCGATGGTACTTGACATTCAAGAATATTCTATTCCCACACTATATTCCATTGTGAAAGAGGCCACAATGAGGCCAAAAATGTGCGTGTCTATATGCAAAGGGAATCAGCAATATTATAACTTTTTAATTACTTGTTACACACACACACACAAACACGAAATGGTTTTTTCGAATTTCAAAATAAAAAGATATCAGAGTTCTGCTTTATCTTTTTTGAATAAAATTCCATATATTTATAAATGGATCAGATATCTAGCTTGGCGAATGAATTGGTACTCACTAAAAATAATAATAAGCTATAATGAAGTATATTTTGGCTGTGGAATCATACGTCGTAAAGACTTTAAGTTTTTTTAATTGGTTTATTCATTGAGGTAGAATTTGAATTTCATGT